AGCTATTCTCCAACAAATTTGCGAGCCAAAGGGAGATTAAACGTACAGCGACCGAACTAATGCAGGTTCATCAGAAAGAGGGAGAATCTTTGAGGGACTACATGCAACGATTCAACAAAACTACTTTGGACATTGATAACGTCCTCGATACTATCTACTTATCTGCCTTGCTGCATGGTTTGAAGTCTAGCCGGTTTCTAGACGACCTGCTGGAGAATCCACCTAAGTCGTGGAATGAAGTAAATGACAGGTCAGCAAGCTTCATACTGTCTGAAGATTTTCAATCTTCCAAGAGACGAGCTGATGATAGACAGGGTAAAGAGCCCAAGTAGCCTGAAGGCAGAGACGATAAGAAAAAACAGAAGGTTGGCGAACAGAGGGTAAAAATGCCATCCTATCCAAAATATGACAGCTACATTCCCCTGAGCTCATCAAGATCCCAGATATTGGCACAGATACAGCATTGGGTCAAGAGACCCCCTCCTCAACGCACGATCCTTCACGAGCTGACAGAAGCAAATATTGTGACTACCACCGTGGATACGGCCATAACACAGAAGACTGTCAGAGCCTGAAGGACGAGCTTGAATTCTTAGCTCGCAATGGAAAATGGGAGGGGTATGTACAGAAGCCTTACGTTTGGCAACCCACCCAAACCCATTTTGTGCAAGAGTACGGCCGATCTCAAGCACTGGGATATCAGTTCGATAACAATCCAAATCTTTACCAGGCGGGTCAATACTCATCTGAGCCGAACAAAGCATACAGGGGACGCCCATTCAATAGGCGCGGGCAAGCACAGAAAGGATCCACGCAAAATCAAAAGGACCACAAAGGGGTTGGATACAGTGGGATACCTCCGCCATCTGGCACAATTAACATGATCTCTAGCGGTATGCACTCAGGGGGCCAAAGGGCCCGAGGCCGCAAGGCGTATGCCTGCCAGGTGATGACTGTTAATAAGAACCGGCCTCTTAAGCTCCCATTTGAAGAAGCAGAGTGGGAGAATGCGCCCATTACATTCAGTTTGGCAGATTATAAGTGGGCAGACGGAGAGCCCGACATTATGATGCCTCATGCAGATCCTTTTGTGGCAACGGTCCATATAGGCAATCATAACGTCAACAAGGTCTTCATTAATACTGGTAGCTCACCAGATATCCTTTATTGGAGCTGCTTTCAGAAGATGCAGTTAAATCCGAGCTCGCTACAGAAGTATGAGGGGCCCATCTACGGATTCAATAATCAACCCGTCCCGGTTGAAGGAGTCATTACTCTACCTATCTATGTGGGCTTGGAACCGCACTTCAGGATGGCTTCCATTACCTTTTTGGTCGTCAAGATGGAATCAGCTTTCAATGCTATACTGGGAAGAGCCACACTCTGCGAGCTGAAGGTTGTCATCTCACAACCCCATCTCTGTATGAAATTCTCAACTCCTCAGGGGGTAGGAGTGCTTAAGGGGAACCAGAAGATGGCCAGAGCCTACTACCAAGATACTTTCAAGAAGGTTGAGCTTGTTGCAGCCCCAGCAGGTTCTTCTAAAAATCACAGGCCAACCGAGCTCGGTCAACAGACAATGAGCATATCAGATATCGAACACCGACCTGAAGGTGTCGAACAGAAGGTTGAGCCAGTTGAACCGGTGGAAACGGTCCCTTTAAACCCTGATGTGCCAGAAAGAACAGTTAAGATCGGCACCAAGCTCACAGAAGAAGAGCGAGCAGAGCTTCTGGAGTTTTTGAGGGTTAACCAAGATGTGTTTGTGTGGACAACAGATGAAATGCCTGGCATCCCAGCAGAATTGATCGTCCACAAGCTCAGGACGGACATCACCAAAAGGCCGGTGGTTCAGAAGCGTTGCTTTTTTGGCCCTGAGAAGCAAGCTGCCATAGATGAAGAGATATAAAAATTAGTACAGGCAGGCTTCATCAGGAGAGTAGAATACTCTGAGTGGGTGTCCAACCTTATGCTCGTCAAGAAACCAAACGGCAAGTGGAGGATGTGTATTGACTTCACCAACTTAAATGAGGCGTGTCCAAAAGACCCTCATCCCTTGCCAAATGTGGAGAAGCTGGTAGAGCAGGCAGTTAGGCATGAGCGGATGAGCTTCCTTGACGCTAGCTCAAGGTATCACTAGGTTCAGTTGTTGTTGGACGACCAGGAGAAAATAGCTTTTTATGCTGGTGACGCAATCTACTTCTATGTCATGATGCCGTTTGGCCTGAAAAATGCTAGCGCAACATATCAGAAGCTAGTGCACATTATCTTTAAGCTCCAGATCAGTAAGAACATAGAAGTATATGTGGACGACATGATAGTCACCAGTGTGCGAGCTGAGGATCACATAGACGACCTGAGTGAAACATTTCAAAACTTGCACAGAGCCCAAATGAAGCTGAATCCCCTGAAATGCACATTTGCTGTAGAATCAGGAAAATTCCTAGGGTACGTGGTATCCAAGAAAGGAATTGAGGTGAATCCAGAAAAGATTTAGGCCGTTCAGCAAATGGAGCCTCCAAAGACCGTAAAAGATGTGAAGCGCCTGACCGGTCATGTTGCTGCGTTACATAGGTTCATAGCCAGGTCGGCAGAAAGGTGTCTCTCGTTTTTTAAAGCTCTGAGAGAGCCCAAGAATTTTCAGTGGACAGATGAATGTCAGTAGGCGTTTGACGAGCTCAAACAATATCTGGCATCAGCACCCCTGTTGTCTAAACCTGTGGAGGGGGAGAGTTTATACCTGTATCTGAGGGTTACAGAGGAGGTAGTAAGTTCGATTTTACTCAGGGAAGAAAACAAACATCAGAAGCCTATCTGCTATGTGAGCAAGGTTTTACAAGGCGTAGAGCAGAACTACCCATTAGCAGAAAAGGCTGCTTTTGCCCTAGTATACATAGCTCGTAAGTTGAGAGCTTACTTCCAATCCCATCAAATTGTTGTTTATACCGATCTGCCGTTGAGAAAGATACTGCAGAAACCAGAACTCTCTGGTCGGCTTATCGGGTGGAGCGTCGAGCTAAGTGAGTATGACCTCAAGTTTCAGCCACGCACAACCATAAAAGGCCAGGCTATGGCGGACTTCCTAGTGGAGTGCATCTCGACGACTGTGGAAGAAAGGGCACCCGAATACCTAGTCTAGGTTTTGTATGTAAATGGAGCTGCTAATATTGAAGGATCGGGTGCTGGGGGCTGTGTTAGTGGGCTCGGATGGCTTTAAATCCGAGCATGCATTAAGATTTAAGTTTCAGACCACTAATAATGCTGCGGAATATGAAGCCCTCATTTATGGCTTGAAGCTGGCGTCCTAGCTGAAAGCGTAGAGCATTAAGGTGTTCAGTGATTCTCAGCTCGTGGTGGGCCAAGTGAATGGCAGCTGTGAAATCAAAGATCCTCAGCTTGGTCGTTATGCCTCTGTGGTCAACAGATTGAAATCAAGATTTGCCTCCTTCCAGATCGACAAGATACCCAGAGCGGATAACCAACGAGCTGACGAACTATCAAAATTAGCCTCCTCACAAGATATCAAACCTCAGAGATCAACAATTGTCAAGGTACTTGATGCGCCGAGCTACATTGACTTTACAGTTGAGTGCCAATTATTAAGCACAGACCCCTCTTCGCCGAGCTGGACTACACCCCTTATTGAGTATCTGCGAACTGGCGAGCTGCCTGAAGATTTGTCCGCTGCAAAGTTGATTAAACGCAGGGTGACACATTTCACTTTGTTGGATAATCAGCTTTACAAACGAGCAGCCTCAGTGCCCCTATTACGTTGCCTTAGTCCTTATGAAGCTGAATATGCTGTGAGGGAAGTTCATGAGGGAGTATGTGGCACGCACATAGATGGCAGAACTTTAGCTCGGAAACTCCTAAGGCATGGTTACTACTGGCCTACTATGGTTGAGAACGCACAGAACTATGTCAAAAAGTGCCCGACCTGCCAGTTCAATGCCGATGATATTCACATGCCAGGTATCTGAGCTTGTTCTAAAGTTCGTGCAAACTTCATGTTTGTATAAAAGTTGAGCATAAATATCTTCCTTGAAACAGGAGAAATGCTCTCATCACTCTCATCTCCCTGGCCTTTTGCTCAGTGGGGAGTCGATCTGCTCGGCCCTTTTGTTAAAGGCAAAGGAGGTTGCACCTACCTCGTTGTTGCGGTGGATTACTTCACTAAATGGATAGAAGCCAAACCCTTATCCACGATAATAAAGAAGAAAATAGAGGAATTTCTGTTCAATTCAATATTATGCAGGTATTCTTTGGTGACTTAAGCCATTGGTACATTATATACAAATAGAATATGTGGCTCAGCTTGGTCATCTGTGTACAGGTTCGGTATAGCTAAGCGGATCATCGCTGATAATGGTTCGTAGTTCCGAGCCGCGGCACTGAGGTTGTTTTGTAACGACTATGGCATTGAGCTCGCTTTGACATCTGTGTATACTCCACAGTCTAATGGACAAGCCGAATTCGCTAATAAAATTGTCTTGCGAGGCCTCAAGATGCGTGTTTTAGCTGCGCATTCTAATTGAGTTGACGAGCTCAATAAAGTGCTTTGGTCATGCTGCACTACGCCCAGCTTGGTGACAGGCGAAACCCCATTCAGCCTCGCCTATGGAGCTGAGGTTGTCATCCCTGTAGAAGTCAAATTGCCATCTGATAGAGCAGATCGGCACAACGACCATCACAATGAGCAACTTTTAAGAGAGAACCTAGACCTCGTGGAAGAGGTTAGAGAGATGTCTCGAATAAGAAACATGGCGCATCAAAGTCGTGTTGCAAAATTTTATAATAAAAGAGTTCAAGCTCGTCAGTTTCAGGTCGACGATTTGATTTTACGCAAAGCGGGACTAACCAATGCTTATTCGCACATGGACAAGCTCGCTCCTAATTGGGAAGGTCCTTACATGGTTATTTGTATTAAGCGACCTGGGTGTTATCAATTAGCAAATTTACAAGGTCGCCCATTACCATTCATTTGGAACATACATAACCTTAGAAAGTTTTACAATTAACATCTCGATGTTGTTATCTTAATTCAAGTTATTGTCAAATAAATGTAAGGGACAATGTATAGAACAGTACACAGCAATATACACAAGAATTTCAAAGGAAAAAGTTCAACTTGTATTCTATCGATGTTCTTTTACAATTGAAGTACATAATGAGTAGTCTCATTTATCAATACAAAAAAACAAAAAAACAAAAAAAAAAAACAAAACAAAAGTCCTATACTAGTCATCCGTCAGGTCGACGGGGATGGATGCGTCATGTTACATACACTGTTACAAATACTTCATGTTTTTAAATGAAAATTCTCAAAATATTTGAGTTTTAATGTGATTTTGAAATTAATGAAAAAATGGTCAAAGAAAAATTGGGGATAATTCAAGTTTATTGACAAATTTGTACTTACTTGAAAACCATTTAAAATATCTGTTATGTTTTGCAGGGACCGAATTATGACAGAGATTAAACTGAGGGACCAAAATTCCATGTAGACAAAACTTATGGACTTTTGATATCCTTTTGACAGAGATTAAACTGAAGCGATATCCTTTTGATCCAAAAGGGATGAAAAATAGAAGGGACAAGTAGGTCATTTTTCTATTTTTATTCCTTGACGTCGTTTCCTCGCTTTGTGTCGCCACTTGCAGGGAGAAGAAGGTGGATTCCTCCCCCTTTCTCCCTAAATCGGTCTTTTCCTCTTTCAATCATTATTGCTCCCTTCCACCCCATATGAAGAAATCTACGTGGAGGCCATGTCACTGACCTGTTCATCCCCTCAAGCCATGGATCTGAAGCAAGTTGAAAGAATCTAGGGCTTTAGGGGGTGGCAAATCTAGGGCTAGGAACCATTGGGATTGAAGGTTTGGATGGCTGAGGTTTTGCTTCTCCCTCCTTCGATTTTGCTTATGAAAGGGAGAGGGCTTTCGAAAGAAAAAGGGGAATAAAAAAAAAGAAAAAAAAAAAGAGAAACCAAATGGAAAAAGGTTGAAGAGAGGTAGAAGGAGTGAAAAAGAAAAAAGAAAAAATTCGAAGAGTACTGAGATCTTCAGGTTTGAGGAACTAAGGGCAAAAAGGGAGGTTTGAGTTTATTTCCGGAACTCAAAGTTGCTGCTGAACTTAGGTGTTTTGTTCTTGATTCATTTCGTGTATATCACGCTTAAATATTGAATGAGAATATGATTTTGCTCCTAGATTTATGCACATTTATTCTAAACTTTTTAGGATAAATTCTTAATTTGGTCCTTAAACTATTGTACGGACCTCAAATTTGGTCCTTGAACTAAAAAAATCTCTGATTTGATCTTTAAACTATTGTATAGATCCCCAATTTGGTCCCTATTGTTTACCAATTTGCTCCAAGTTGGTCCTTCTGTATAAAAACAGCTAACGTGCCTCATTATTAACGTGACATGTGACCATTAAATTACTATTTTTCATCGTTAACTTACTGTTTTTCACCATTAAATAATGGACACGTCAACTGTTTTTTGTACGGAATGACTAATCTGAGGCAAATTGGTAAACAGTATGGACCAAATCGGGGATCTGTATAATAATTCAAGGACCAAATTAAGAGTTTGACCAACTTTTTATCTTGTAGTGTTAGTTCACCCACCAAGCCTAAAAAGCTTGGCTTCTATAGGTTGGGAGTTCCACTCCCACCTATTACTTGAAATTACACCTCTTTGCCTCAGAATTTTTCCATGTTCAAAAAAAAAAAAATTATCCTGTTATAACTTAATTTTTTGCAAAAAAAGAAAAAAAGAAATAATTATATAATGAATAAATCTTAATTAACCTTATTTTCTATGTTTCAGGGACTCGCTTATGATAAAGAAAATGCTGAAATTGGACTTGAGTTGAGTGCACGTGTAATCAAGATGGACGATCAAATTTGGAAAATTAGAAAGAGTGGCTTAATTGGACCCAAACGCAAACCCATTTCAGCAAAGTCCAAAGTTAGCCCATTTTTGACCGATTCACCAAAAACTAAACCAAGCCCTTTTATTTTTTGAAGGGGGGCAGGCAGCCACACAGAAAAAAATAAAATAAAATTATGTTCTCCAACCGTACCCCCAATTTGTAGATCCCCGTGTTTTTTCATCTCATCTCACCGTCTTCGACGATCATCTTTTCGATCTCATCATCTTCACTGATCATCACCAGCTGGCCACAGCCACTGGAAAGAAAGGGAGCAGATGGGAGAACGGATCTGGGTTTGAAGGCGGGGATCATTGGCAGATCTGGGTTTTGGAAAAAAGAGATCAGATCAGTTGCACAACCCCTTCGCCGTTTCCAGCCGCAGAAAACGAGAGGTTTCATTCCAATTTTGTAAATGCAGGTATAATTAGTTCTCTACGGCCTATACCTACGCGTTTAAAAATTGTAACAATATAATTATAAACGTAGCTGGTTATCTTTAGTTACAGTAACTATGTTATCTAATGTATAACTATAATTTTTAGAAGGGTTATAGCTACGTTTTTTGGAATTTTAGTTATAGTTTTTGTGTGTAGATAAATGACAATTTAGATGTAGTGAATAAATCTCCAATTGTTTCTTCATTCTTTTTCCCCTTAGAATAGGCACATATACTTCTATTTTCAGGCAAATAACTCACCATTTCCATACAATCAGCATGTTTTCAATCACCCTCAGACCATTATTAAGTTTCAGACGAGGCATTAACCACAAGAAAACCATATTAGCTCCATCTTTGTGGCCAAGTTTTTCTATGATGCCCTCAAGCTCCAGGGGTGACATTTCATCAACACCACAATAGTCCACGAAGTTTATTTCACTGCCTCTATATTGACTGTTCCCAAGACTAAAATTCCACCGTGGTGCATTTCAATTGTAAAATATTGAA